TGCGACACACACTTCCTGTGGCCTTCACTGTGAGTTTTTACTGTCTGCCTTGCCCCAGACAGCAAAGTGCTGATGGCTCTCAGCATGAGCTGAGGAGTGGCACCACCTTGCACGTGCTGACCATGACTACTCACCGTGGGTCTCGTTAACTTCCCATCTTTACACCCAGGCAGGGGATTCTGCTCTGAAGACAGGTTGGTGACCCCTGTGGTCAGGAAGGGCCTGAGCTCTGGTGCCCCAGCTGCAATGCCTTGGCTGCAGTTTGGATGTGTGTCCCCTAAAGGGACACATGGAAGAACTTGGAGTTGTTATGGACCTTGAGAAAGGGCCTCATGGGAAGGGAGGTCCTTTGGCCTGGGGTCACACCGGGGGATTGCGAGTCACAAGCCCTTTGCTTCCTGGCTCATTATACAAGCAGTTAGCTCTGCCATGTTCTCCCCATCACTGCTTTGGCCCCCTCAGCAGACACCCAGAGCAATGGGCCTCAGACTGTGGACTAGAAGCTCTACAACCCAGTACACCAAACTGGGCCTTCCAATGTTATAAGTTTATTGTCTCAGACATTTTGTTATAGGGATGGAAAGCTGATTAGCACAGTCCTACCCAGCAGGGTTCCCCCCAAAAGGGCTATGCTAGAGTCGCAGAGCTTAAATTGTGAAGAAAGGACTGTGTTGTTGTTAAGTTGTGATGGTGTTGACATTTATGCAGAGTTAAAATACTTTGAGTTAAAATAATTTAAGGGTGTCCTCTTACCAATGCTGCTCTCAACACCCATTTTTCGTCCTGAGGAGATGGGGATAACCTGGGGCCCCCTGGCACCGGGACATATGTGAGACACACAATGACAAGTTGGCCAGCACCAGCCTGGTTCTGGGATGCTGTAGTGTTGTGCACTGGAGCATCTGTGAATGTGACGCACAGCCTGGGGAGGCTGACTGTACCCTCTGCCCTGGGCGTTGGAGGGCTGACTGTGGGGCAGGTGCACCTATACTGAGGCCATTGGCCTCAAAACCCAGTAAGCTCTGGCTTTTCGCCACAAGCAGTGGGCGCCGCCCATGGGGATCCCTGCCTCTTTGAGCACCCCTTCCTTCTGGGCCCACAGGAGCCAGCCTGGTGGGGCCTGCACTGGCATAGTCATTCTGGTGCTGACCCCCCAAAACCTGACCTGACAGTCAGAAAGAGGGTCCTCTAGCAGTGGTCCAGGGATGGACCTCTCCCTCATGCCCAGCCTCTGTGCTCCATTTCTCCCCACTCTTTTGAGTGACTCAGGGGATTCAGGTGACTGCTCAGGTTTTGCCTTGAAACCTTCCAACTTGGCTCCTCTGCCAATTGCACCTGGATGGCCCCTCCAGATCCCAGTCAGGGCCCTGCCTCTGCCCTGCACCATGTGTCTGGTGCCCGTCCTTCTTCCTCCTACCTTGTCCCTGCCTTTCACGGCATAGCTGACTCCTGCAGATGTAAACTAGCTTCCAGCATGGCCTGAGGCACTGCCATCGCTAACTCAAAAGCTGTAGAACAGATTTTGGCTGTGACCATAACAAGCAACATTTCAGTCTGACAAGGATCCGCGAAGGCCAAGTGTTACTGAGGCCTTCAGACTCAAGTGCAACACCTAGCGATAGCCAAGGTGGAGGAAGTGTAATGGGAGGGGGTGCTGGAGGTCTCGGGGAGGGCTCAGCAATCCTCAGGGCCATCACAGACCTCTTGCTCCAGGCTCAGGACCATGCAGGACCTGGCAGTATCCACCCAGACACACAAAAGTCTCAAGGACAGGTGGGACCAGCTTACTGCAGCTGCCTCCATTTCCAGGGACACCAGAGCCCAGAGCAGCTCAGAAGCCCCAGTGCAGCTGCCTATGCAGAAGAATGTATGCAGGTCTTACCTTGAGGCTGCTTCTCTGCCCGCACCCTCAGGTACATGGGTCAGTCCTCTGAGCTGACTGTTCTCAGGGGCCTGGAAGTGCCCTGGACTTGCATCTCTTAGAGTCTCAGGGAGCAGGTTATCACCCGCCTCCTTACTAGAGGTGCCAGGAGCCTCTCAGCTACCTGAAACTCTCACAGGGTCGACTCATTCAGAGGGCTCCACAGGGGCCGGGGAGATGGTTCAGTAGAATCAGCGCTTCCCTGGCAAACGCAAGGGTCTGAGTTCAATCCCCAGTTCCACAAAAAAAAAAAAAAAAAAAAAAAAAAAAAAAAAAGGAGGGGAGAAACTTACTTAGCGCTGCTCCTCTGCTGCAGAGGGCTCCACAGAGGAGTGAGGGGCCAGAGAGATGCTCTTAGTCTGTCTAACCAGCTCGGGCACCTGGGTGAGCGGACCTCCAACCTGTCTAGAGCTACAAGGCAACTTCCCTGGACAGACAGCAGCTGTCTTGTGGCTTACTTCTGGGGCCTCCTTAGCTAGAATTACCCCCGGGGGGCCTGTTCTGACCCACCTGTGTGCTGTGGCATGGGCGACTTTCACTTTCCTTTATACTTCAGGCCATAAAACTCATCCCAGCTTCCCTGTGTGGTAGAGATGCGGCCTCCGTGAGCTTGCGCCTGTGCGCAGAGGTGGGGATGCCTTTCTGTACTACTTCTTTTGAGAGTGCGGGTGCGCCCATGCACATTCACATGTGCACACGTGCAGCAACCTCACAAACACATTCACGCCCAAACATAGGCACACACACGTCCTCACAAGCATACGTTTTCCTAGCCATAGGACCCACACACAACCCACAGAGACACAACACACACATGCAGGCAGCATACCCACATGCGTATCCACATGGACACTCACAAAAGGAAGGGACACAAAAAACCACTTGAGACAACATGCTGGGGCCCGCTTTCCTCACCCAGGTCCTGTGCAGGCTGGCTCGGTGTGGAGGGTTCCTCCAGGCAGCTGTGCTGTGACTCTTTGTGTTCCCCAGACAGGACACACACGGAGGATGTGTCACGACACTGGTCTCAAGTGGACTCACAAGGCCAAATCAGTATCGAAACACAGTGAGGTTCAATATTTAATGCTGAATTTCTTTGGTTGAATGATGAGGTGCCCTCTTTGTTCTGCCAGGGGCATGGAGGGCAGAAAGGACGGGAGGGGCCGCAGCCCAAGGGAGCAGTCTGGGTGCGGTCCCAGCCCCACTCGGGCCACTGTCCCCTGTCAAGGGCAAGAAACGCACACAGGATGCTATTGACCAGCCTCACCAAGGACCAACAATGCAAAATACTGTATTTTCATCTGGACGGTCTGCGTCTACAGTGCGCACACAGCACAGCGCTGGGTTCTGTGTGCATCAGCTACGGAAGCAGGTGACAAGCCTGGACAGTGACAGGAGCTTAAAACACCCAGAGGTCGCTGGTTGTCTCTTGGTTGACCTGGAAGGACACATGGGGTCTGTGCTGGGTGTGGTGAGCTGCAGTTAATTCTGATGTCACAGATGCATTTGTAAGTGGCAGGGCTGGCGCTCCTCACTCAGATACTGAGCACTGGGCTCCGGATGGCACTTTCCACTGCAGCACTGAAGAGGGCGCCCACCTCAAGGTGCTGCACCGTGCCTCACGCTCTCTTCTGAGGCGTGCTTGGGAAGGTTCTGCTCCTGGCAAAGCCACCTGCCCCAAAGCAGAGCACACTGATGAGTCACAGTGACACTGATCCTGATGCTGACATGAGTATCTGCAATGAAAACCCAGGGGTCGGGTTGGATAGAAAACACACATGTGAGCACATGTGTAAATGCGTATACACATGTGTGCAGGTGCATGTGGGTATACACTGCACTATGTGTGCAAATGCATGTTGCACAGGTAGATACATACAGGTATGCATGTGTGTTTTGTATTATGTGCATACACTCATACGCCTGTCCTACAGGTGTGCTTGTGCACTTTGCAGTATAGGTGCATGTACCTGTGTGTACGTGTGCATGTTTGTGGTGTGCACACTGTGTGAATGCATGTGTGTTCAAGTGTGTGGTGTATGCACATGTGCTTGTGTACATGTATGTGTATATGTGGGTACACATGTGCCACAGCCTGGGAGGACAGAGGGAAGGCTGCCTGTGCACAGTCCCATAGGCAGACCCCTCTGAACACAGGTGCTCCAGCTTCAGGGGGGACTCTTGCTGGGGCTACTTGTTTTCACAAAAGGCTCCTTGTTATCACAGCTGTCCTTTGAATTGGGGCTTTGTGCCCAGATGAAAATGAAACACAGAAATTTTGTCTCTGATAACTACCACATAGCAGTCAGCTCCTCTTCTTTGTGGAGTGGAGAAGTGCCCGCGATGGAGCAGAATCCAGTCTAATCCTACCCGTGGCTGGCTCTGGAAATGGAGTCTTCATTATGAAGGTTTGGGTGTCCGCGTGGGCCCTCAGGAGGCTGTGTGCAGCCTTCGCAAGGCTGGTGGTCACGGCTGCTTTCCTTGCCCACAGTTCCAGAGGCAGTATGGGGGGCCCATCCCCAGCATCCCAGGTGCTCTTGGGTTGTTAGGGGTTGGGGTTAGGTGAGATGGCGGAAGTGCCAGGGGAGGCTGCTGGTGTGACACAGACACAAGGACACTGGAAGGGACCTGTAGAAACATCCCAGTGGGCCAATGCTCTTTATGATTGACCACTATGGCTCCTGGAATAAACTCTTAACACACACACACACACACACACATACACACACACACACACGCACACAACACCAGGAAACATAAGATGGAGCCTCTGGCAAGGTTGCCTGGATCACCACCCAGCAATACAGCATGGATGCCGGGCTCTGTGCTGGGTTCTGGGGTGGCTTCTTTGATAGAATTCTGTACTATGTTCCTGGGCTGCCCTGGCAATGGGACGCTATGAACAGAAATCTGGTGACAGTATGTGGACAGTCTACTTTGGGACTAACAGAGGCAGGTGTGGCCCAAAGCATTTTTCCTTCTGGGATCTTCCAGAACAAAGGGGACAGCTCCAAGATGTGAGTTACTTTGGTGAGCCTCCATGCCAACCTCGTGTGGCAAGCGGTTCTCCTCTTCGCTCTGAAGCTCCTCCAGGGACACGGTGGCACTGGTGAGGGTGATGTGTTCCTGTCCCTATTACACAGTAGTTTCATTTTTCCAGGGCCCTGTTCGAATGTTGCCTGTCCCATCGGTGCTGAAGGATAGGCCTTCTTGAATAGTGCTCTTTAGCATCCCATTCTGGCTGGGGCCACCAAATGGCAGGGACTGTGTCCTCCGGAGCATCTCCAAATGGGCGGGGCCTGGAGGCAGCCTTGGGGGGCAGCCGTAGAGCGCAGGACTGGTGTCACTGCACTCAGGCTGGCTGACCATAGGGAAGGGGTCACCTTGGGCACAGCAGGCCAGCGTGTGCACCCCCATGGGGCCCTCGAGCGAGCTGGGCGGACTGTCTGTGTGTGAGCTGTGGGGGCTGCCGTCTAGGCTGGAGGGGATGTGGTAGGCGTACTCGTGCTCAGCAGCAGCTGCCTGGTGCCGGCTGAAGTAGTGAGGCTTAGTTCTGCCCTTGAGGCACCTGTGCAGGCTTGGGTTGTGGAAGGCGTCCTCCTCTGGCATGTGCACGTGGGCCTCCTCCTCCATCAGCTGCTCGCAGTGCATCTTGGCACAGCAGGGAGTGGCTGGCGAGAGGCAGCTGACATGGCCCTGGGCAGCCTGCAGGTTGGTCATCTTGCAGTGGCCAGGAGGCGGGTGGCTGAAACCCCTTGGGTTGCCAGGGCCTGGTGAGTCCTGCAGGCAGGTGTGCCCCAGTATGTCCCCATTGGCGTCGAGGGCAGGGTGGGTGCTGGGCTTGGTGGTAGAGGTGTCCCCACGGGATGGGCAGCACGACCACCAGCACTGCCACACGTCCTCCCGTTTGGCGCAGTGATGGATGAGCACAAAGAGCCCCAGGGTCACACAGAAGGCGCCGTATAGACAGCTGAAGATCATGTCCAGGAAGTGGCCCTGAGACACGGCCAGTGCCCCGAAGGTCCACGTGGCCGTGAACAGGAACAGCGTGAAGGCAGCAGCCCGCAGCTGGGCCTTGAACGAGTGCTCATTCTGCAGCTGGGAGGCCACCAGGGCGTCGCAGGCAGTTGGGGTGCCAGGCCGCACCCCGTGGCAGTGGCCTCCCTCCGGTACCGCCAGCCGCTGCTGCTCTTCTGTGCGCTCTCGGAGCTCATACCTGCGCTCGGGGTGACGCCGAAGCTGGATGTAGGTGCCAAGGAAGTACACGCAGGTGACCAGGGCGATGAAGGCGGCCGGCCCATAAAACGCACCCAGGCTGGGCTCCCAGGCCATCCAGCAGCTGCAGGGAGACGCCAGTCAGTGCGGGCCTGGCTGGGCAGACTAGAGAGGGGTTCTATAATGTGCTGGATTAATTTTGTGGGAAGGAAACATGTGGAAAAAGGAAGAAGCCAGAGCATCTGAGACGGCCCAGTGGAGAAGTGTGGGCGTTGGCTAATGGGGGCAGCCTGGAGCAAGCATGGAGCTCAGACGTCACAGAATAGCCACTTAGGGCCTGCCCTCAGCCTTGCAGGCTGGGGAGGTCAGAGGAAGTGATGGGAAAGTGACTAGGACCGAAAACAAGCAGAAGCAAGCACAAGTGAGGGGTGGGGCTGGGGGTGGGGTGAAGAGGATGGACAGGTGGGGGGGGGAAGGGGGCGGGACTTGAGTGGCAGGCTGAGGGTTCTGGGCCACCCGGAGAAGGTGGGTGTGGCGGGTGAGTGCGAGGAGAACCTGAGCAGAGCCCTGAGCGTGGGCAGGGGTGAGGTGCTGCGCATCGGTTCCTGCCCGAGGGTGGAGTGAACATTCTCAGCTGACCTCCGGGCTGCAGCTGAACCATTATCTGGAAGGCTTTCCTTGTTAGAGAAAACCAATGGCCTTCTGTGCCCAACCAAAGAGATTTAACAGGAAGCAGTCCGTAGGGAGGAGACAGCTCTACGTACCCAGGGGAAGGGGAGGAGCCATAGATCTGAGTACCCCCTAGGCCCAGGACTCAGGGCCCAGGACTTGCTACGCTTTTCTCACCAGGGGCATACTGGGGAAAGTCACTGATCCAAGTTAACACCACTGGTTGCTTGTGGAGACTAGCTTCCCCCACCCAGCATCAGACGCGGCCTGCGGGGGTCCTGCCCACCCCGGGTGTGGCGTGAGCCCGGAGCTCCAGCCTCCACCTCTAGCGTCCTGTGGGTGGCTCGTGCTTAGTACTCACTAGGCTGTGTCCTCATCTTCAATCCCGTAATTACTGATGTTTGTGGCAGCTGTAACCCCACAGATGATGAACGGGATGCCTCCACTGATGAGGTAAAACCTGCCAGAAAGCAGAAGGCATTGACTCCTTGGGAATACCTGAGTCCGCTGGTGTCTTCCCACTTCCTGAGAGAGATGGCTGAGGGGTCCTGGGCCAAGCCGCCCCTCAGCACAGAGAAGCACAAGTCTGGTGGAGGAGTCCTGGCTTCGCAGCTGCCTGCTGGGCTGGCTGGTGCCTGTGGGAGGCGTGAGCCCGTGGCAGCTCCAGTCTGCTGCAGACTGAGCCAGAGACGTTACACAGATCCTTGTGGAGGTGAGAGAGGCACAGAGAGGGAGAGCGAGCACGTCGCTGATGAAGAAAGGTTGTCGGAGACACTGAGTGAGGTCCCCTAGATCCCTTAGGCCAGGTGCTGGTGATTCAGTTTGGTTCCTTCTGGATTTGTCCTCAGCCAGAACTCAGGTTAAACTTTTTCCCTCTCTGGGTCAGCCTCTCTGGGCCAGCGCTGGCCAGTGACCCAAACATCTCAGGTGGGGAATTTGGACCCATCCAGCCCTCTGTAGCTCCTGAGACAAGTTGTTCCCCCTTGGGCCAGTGCCCTGGAGGGACAGCACTTATCCCCACCAGAGTTGGGAAGACTTTACCAGGGGTGATCAAATGCCAGATGTACCCAGCCCAGAGCTGGTGTGCCTTAGGTATGGGGCTGAGAGCACAGTGGTGCTGACACCAGGGCACCCAGAGGTACCCCTGCCTCACCATGGGTGACAGTGTCAGGGCCACTGTGGGGCCCATTTATGAGATGGGGCCACTCTGCTGCAGACTCTCATACACCTGGAGAGCAGGCTGTGGTATTCCCACAAGCACAGCAATGGGCCCTCACAGTGAAAGGCTAGGCGCAGGAGGCCCCCAGGGAATCTTTTCCTCCTGGGATTCTGTAGCTGAAGAAATGGCCTAAGAAGAGTGGGGTGAAATAAAGACATTTCCTGACAAAAATGTAGCTGACAATCTGCCCTTAGCCCAACTGTGCTTCAAGAAATGTTTTATGCAGTGCCCTAGTCGGAGGGATGTGGTACCTAGGGGAAGCTTGGATCACCTGAAGGAATAGAAATGTTAATTACTGGGTAACTGAGAATTTTGTTTTCTCTTAATTTCTTCAAAATAATAGAAACTATCACGTGAAGTGAAATTAGATAGACTTGGAAAGATAAAAACGGCATGTTTCTCCCTCTTTCGGGAGAAACTTAATAAATGAATAAAATAAAGGAGAGCTGATAAGAAACCAAAAAGCAGATTGTTGGAGACAGGGAATGAGATAGATGGGAATAAAAGAAGAGGCGGTAATGGGACTGAAGAAGGTCGAGACACGTTACCAACTTCCCCACATCAGCTCCGCCATTTTGTAATACTAATATACACAACTAAAAATACATACAATGGTTTAAAGAGAGAATTTTAATGTCACCTTGTAGAGCTTATAATTTATATAGGGGTGACATATAACATGGCACAAAAGGTAGCAGGGGCATGGCCCTAAGTTAGGGCTTCCTGTACAAGAGGTAGTGATGTCACACTCTACATGGATTACAAAAAGGCTGTGGACTTGAATCCCTAAAGTCTGCAAGACATTAATAGAAAGAAGCTATAGATAAAAACAAAAATATTAAACAATACAAAAGAAGGAAGAAAAGGAGGAATAAAAAAAAATCAAGAATGAAAGAGGTTAAAAATAGAAAATATTTCTGATCTTATTGGTTGATTGCAGCTCTGTTCTACCTTAGATTAGTCTCACCTTGTGGTTTTGCTATATAGAAGTAGAGTCCCCGGCTACCTACTCGGGACTCCTTGTTTCTTTTGAACCAAAGCTTTCTTTCTCTCTCTAGTAGATACTTCCTATTCTTAAGAAAAATAGAAAATAGAGAGTAAAATGGAGACCTAATTCAAACCAAAATTCTTTTAAGTTTAAACAGATTAAAAGATCCAGTTCAAAGATAGAGATTGTCAGAATGGAGGCAGGGGAAGACCCACCTGGGTGGGGCCCACAATGGGAGCACTTTAAATATGAAGATACAGAATGGATGGAAAAAGCCCCAAATGGCTGGTACAGTCACATGACCACCAGATAAAGTGGGTTTTGTGGTACTGGGAGAAGGGTGGCATTCTCTCATGATTGCAGTGCTTGTCAGGGCGGACCGTGAGAAGGGCTCCAAATGCCTGAAGTCAACAAGATGAAGGAGAAGAGGATGATTCCAAAATCACAACTGGTGGCCCTAAGCCTGCTTGATTCGCTGGTTATAGGACAGGTAAGCAAAAGGAAGAGAAGACATCAAAAATGTAAGTGACTTCACCTAATTGCTGTAGATCTTCACACGCAGCAGTGGGCTCCACACACTTGTCAAGCACAAGTGGCTCATTCACCGTGGCAGATGACGTGATATGCTACGGAGTGAGTCTTGGAAAAATTCCAAAGACTTAACATCATGCAGAGTATATGCTGACTGCAACCAAATTGAAAAGGAACTGAGCAACAAGAACAGTAAGGAAAGCACAAATCTTTGTAGAATTAACAACAGACTTGTTAAGAATTCCTGGATCAAAGGAGAAATCACGAATGGATTCTGAAATAATTATAAATAGAATGATTAAGAAAATACAACATACCAGAATTTTTGGGATACAGTTATAATAGCAGGGCATATAGGGACATTTGTAACTTTAAAGGCTTGCATTGGAAAAAAAGAAAAGGTCTAAAATTTAGTGGCATAAGATTCCAGTTTAACAAGATAGAAAAGTACAAGATCAAATTAGCCCCAAAGTGGGCAGAAGAAGATGATAAAGATAAGAGAAAAACTCTGAAGGATGGTTCCATGAAAAAAACAAAACAAGGAAAACCCCAAAATCTCTTACCTAGACTGAGTAAGAAAAAAGATAGAAGACAAATGACCAGTATTAAGAAATGGGAGTCAGGGCCGGCCAAATAGCTCAGTGGACTAAAGCGCCTGCTTAAGCAAATGCAGCAGCAGGGGTTCGATCCCCCGCATGCCATGCTGGCCCTGTCCCCGAGGTGCGCCTGTAATCCCAGATCTTGGGAGGCTGAACACAGGTGGATCACGTAAGTCTGATCTATGTAGTGAGACCCTGTAGACCCCTACTATAGGAGCTAATGTTATATACCTGATGGATATTAAAACATAATAAAATGTTATAATAAACAACTGATTTTTTTTTTTTTTTTTTTGGAACTGAGGATTGAACTCAGGCCCTTGTGCTTGCCAGGGAAGCGCTTATTCTACTGAGCCATCTCCCTGGCCCAGAAAATCTTGGTGTCCAGGCCCCGGGAAATAGCTCAGTAGTCTAAGTGCCTGCCTAACAAATGCAGAGACCCAGGTTCGATCCCCAGTGCCACATGCTGCGCCAGCCCCACCCTGGGCACACCGAGCTGACCACCAAGTCCAGGCGTGGTGGTGCAGGCCTGTAATCCCCACACTGGGAGGCTGCAACAGGAGGATCACGACGAGTCCGGCCTGTGTAGTGAGAGCCTGTACCAAATACATAAAAATTTTAAAAAGGAAAATCTTAGTATCTAGTGTCTAATAAAAATTGATTCAATATCTAGAAACATTTAATAGGCTGAGAAGTTTGACTAAGTATCCGCAAAAGGAATAACGCCACTCTCATAGGGCTCTGAAAAGGGGCGGCATCTCCTAATTTCTTTGCAAGGCTAGCAAGGGTTTGATCTCAAAATCAAAACCAAACAGAGACAGTGAAACAAAGTTACATTGCACGGCCCCTCATGACCACGGCCCTATTACTCTTATGAGCCACCAGCAAATGAGGACGAGGAGCTCCTCGGGAAGGGCTGACATTCTGGCTTGATTGAGCTAAAAGATGCAAAGCCAGTTTGGGGTTCACAGAAATCAGTGAACATAGCTCAACATACGAACCCAGCGAGGAGAACACGGATGGTCGACCCACAGGCTCGGGCAGAGCTAACTTTTGTACATTCTCATCGTAAGAAACCTAAGCTAGAAACGGAAGGGAATTTCCTCAGCTTGTAAAATGCATTTATGGAAAACTTATACCAGATAACAGGTGACGTAAGCATATTTTTGTCTGCAGATAACACGACTGCTTACATGAACTAGTCTGTAGAATCTACAACTATTAGCGTTAGGAAGTGACTTCCGGAAAGTAGTAACGTTAATATATAGATATCAATTTTATATTCATATAGTAACAGAAAACCATTGGAAAATAAAATGAAAATATTTTAAAATGGCGTGAAAAGTGTAATCCCAATCATAATCCCAGCAGATTAGCTTTTTGTAAAGGTTGAAAAATCTGCTCTGAGATGTGCATGGGAATGGCACTGGTGTGGAATACCCAGAGCCACTTGACACCTCACCTCATCTGACCAAAGACTTACTAAAGAGCCACAACTATCAGGACAGTGTGGCCCAAGAGGAAGGACTGTCGAAAATAACACAAAAACGAAAACCAATAGCAGCAACAAGCAAACAAGAAACTCAGAAAAAAATGCAGTCATTTAAGAGGAGTCCACGCTAGATCCTCATTCATACAGGAGGGTGCAGCATGGCTCAGTCACACAGTGCAGTGATTGTCCTTGAAGCCATCCAACAACGTGACGAGGAAAGAGCACACCTTTGGACAGTGCTGAAGAACTTGACTCAGCCTACCCTGTACACAGGCTTGGTATGGGTAATTCATAGATAGGCCTAAAAGGAAACATTCAACCCCCAGCCCATTTGTGGAAAAATACAGGAGACGTTATCACAATGTGGTGAAGGGAGAGGGTTTTTGGTGTTCCACAGAAAAGGTGTAGGTAGAGATGAAAAACTGACAAGCAACTGTCAGCCAATTGGCAACTTCTGTTCATGAGAAACATTGTTAAGAAAATGCATAACCAGCTGTGGAGCAGCGTTTTTCATGTATATAGAACTCCAGGAGGAATTAAAAATCAGTGAAAATGGGGAAAAGGTTTGAGAAGTTTCTTCACCAGTTAAGATACCTAAATGCCCAACAAGCACATGAAAAGGTGCTTGAGG